AGACCCAGCTGGCTTCTATCGCGAGTGACTGGTCAGGCTTTGCCGTTGAGGGGTGGTTGCTTTATCTTGGGATGATCTTGGGCCCAGATGCGACGGTCGACATGAACTGGAGGGGCCCGCTTATGAAGGCACGATCTCGCTCTCGGATGTTGGGACGTGGGGTTGCGTCAGTCTGTACGAATTGTATCTTGTACCGCACGCGGGTCTACCCCTGTTTGGCGTATGTAGCCCAATTCCTCCCTATGCCCGAATGGTTCCTTCCCATTGAGCGTGGTGCCATCGCCCAAGTTCTCCGTGCTCCTCTTGGCCTCTTTTCGAACGAATCGATCCTGGAGCTCCCGGCCTGGGGTGGTCCTCAGATTCCATCGTGGGCTGCCCATGCTACTGCAGCTCACCTACGTGCTGCTTTTCACACCTTCCAGGGCTTTGAGGAATACTTACGGCTACTGCGACAAATGGCTTCTCTTTGGCACAGAGAGGTGGTGGAAGGGAAGTTTGATGATATCCCCTTGGCTGCTGTGGATCGCTCCCGTGTTTATCCATCGTTCTGGAAATCCCCTGCGTTCGTTGAACACCTTGAGCTGGTCCACGTGAGGTCTCAAGAGCCCCTACTCGTCGCTGCCCGCTCTGCCATGCGTGAGGAAGCTCAGGTTACGACACGAAGGCCCAAGCTGCAACGTGCTGCTGCCCGCTCGTTGGGTCAGAACATGTGTACGCACAAACCTCTACTTGCCATGCTGATTCGCCACTTAACCCCGTTATTCACAGCTTACCTCCCCTTCCTCAACCTGATCCACTGGCCCGCTATTCAGGAGCTTTTGGCATTGGTTCCGCAAAGCTGGGCGATGGCAGCCTTACGGACTTGGGGGCATGGATGGCTGACATCACATAGGATTATCCACCCGAGGGGCAAACTTCGCTGTCGTTTCGGATGCCCTGGCCCTGATCGGCTGCAACATTATCTACGCTGCCCTAAATTGTACCTGGCAGTCTGCAAAGGTCTACAGCGTGCCCTGCCTCGCCCCCTGGCTCAGCGTCTTGGCCTTACCCACCCCCACCCTGACCACTTCGAAGCTCTCTATGTCTATTACCAGGTCTTCAACTATGCTCGGCAAGGTGCTCTAGTGTCGACTCCCCGTCAGTTGCGTGGTTATGTTGAGGCCGCCGTCCGCACTTCTCGTCTGGCCAGGCCTTCAGCCAAATTGAAACGGTGGGAACCTCCTCCCGCTGTCCAGACGATCCGCCGAAGGCAGCCTCAGTGGGATGTGCTCACCTCATCGTCCACCTCCTGTTTGAGTTCAGATGCTGCGGCCCCCATCCCTGACCTGGTCCCTCCCACCCCGTGTGACGACGATGTGATACATAGCGCTGATGAAGCTGGCCAACCTGGTCCCCATCCAGTGTCTCCTGTGCCCATTCCTGCTGGCGCTTTGGCTCAGTGCGAGGCCCTGCCCTCAAGGCAGGGCGTCAACGGGCGGGCGTCCGCTCCCGCAGCCACCTCGCCGCGACCTGCGGCATCCATGTTCCCATGGCCGCTTGCCGCCACGGTGGCGCTCTCCGCGGTCCATGCAGCGTCGATGTCTGTCCCAGCTGCATGCGAGGCGGATGTTACTCGGCTTGAACGTGAATATCGTGCGACCATCAGGCGTGTCGAACGCCTTCGTGCTGGTGGGCTTCCCGTTCGTGAGGACCCTTCTCTCCCTGAACAGTTGCGGTGTCTGGACGATGCCACCTCGTCGAAGTCGACGCCGTCACCGAGTACTCACATCCTGCGTCTGGCGGGCCATCCACATTCTTCCTCTGTGGAGCATGCTACACCTGTTGTCTTCGGCGAACGTATTGCACCAAGGGCTACACGCTGGATCTTGCGCTTGGATGACTCCGAGAGCGGCCGTGCCGACTGGTTGATGTGGTGCATCCCATACGTACGTGCCAAATTTGAGGCGATGGAATGGGTGGATTCGTCTGGTTGGAGTGGTGCTCTCGACGAACTCGCTCGTCATATCTGCATGGTTGCCTGGGACACCTCTACCGAGGGGCGCCTCAATACTGTAGATTACTTTCGGTGGCTGAATGACCCGCGTAACTCCTTGACGCGGCACGGGCTCTGGGAAGAGATGGTGGATCGACATTTCCAAGCCCTTCGTGAGATTCGCAGAGAGATGAGGCAATACTTGGGACCCGCTGCACCACACCGTATTCGTGACTTCCTTGTGGACAGCAATGGAGATGAGTCCCTGCCCATCGTTGCTGCCAACGGGTCGGTGCACTACTTTGCCTCACTCGTCTCAGCAGTGGATCCCGATGATGGCGATGCCGCCGATGGTGATGGTGACGTTGACCATGCCTCTTTCCTCCTCCAGGTCTCGATCGCAGGGTGCTCCTCGAGCCCTGCGGCCACTGGCGTTAGAACGCGGAGGTCGACCGCCTCTGATGGAAATAACGGCTCTGGAGTAAGTTGTGAGCTTGCGTCTCGAGTTCGGAGGTCGACCGCCTCTGTTTTAAATAAGGGCTCTGGAGTAAGTTGCGAGCCTGTGTCTCGAGTTCGGAGGTCGACCGCCTCTGTTCTAAATAAGGGCTCTGGAGTAAGTTGCGAGATCTCGTCTCTTGTGCGGAGGTCGACCGCCTCTGATGGAAATAAGGGCTCAGACATCGAGAATTGCGCCTTCTTCGTGAATTGCGCCGACGTCGAGTGTTGCCCCGTCATGGTGAGTTGCGCCGTCTTCGAGGGTTGCGCCGTCTTCGAGAGTGTCTCCGTCAACGAGAGTTGCGCCGTCTTCGAGAGCTGCACGCCATCCTCGAGAGTTGCGCCGTCTCGGAGAGTTACGCCGTCGTCACGAGCTTCTCCGTTGTGGACACGGATCGCCTCTCTCTTCGCTACTACTCCGTGCTCGTTTTCCCCGACCTGGCCGTGTTCGACGGCTGCTGCCCCTTCGTTTGCGCCCTGTCCGTCGCTGATGGCGGGACCCTCCTCCTCGATTTCGCCTCCGACGAGAATTTCGTCGTCATGGTCATGCAGTGCTACTCTTTCTTCTTCTATTGGTACGAGTCCTGGTACAGGAGTTGGGGGCACCCTCAGATTGCCCTATGTGTGTGAGTGCCGTCGGAAAAGGCTCCTGTTGCCCATTTTCCTCAGGCGCCCGAGCCCGTGGCACCTGCATAGTGGGCGGAAGTACAGGCGTAGGTGGTCTTCCCAACGGGGGGCGCGGTGCGAGTGGGGACTGCCCGGCGGCGCGCCGTTAGTGACCCTCGCACCGTTGCTCCCCGGCCCCACGCACGGCGCGGAGAGTGCCCCTTGTTGGATGAGGGTCTCTCTCTCGTCCCTTTCCTTTTCAAGGCGTGTTCGTGATTCACCTGCACGCTCTCGGCACTGTCCTCACTGCTCTCTGCGTCTCGTCTCGGTCCCTTCTTGCGTTCTCGCTCCCCCCTGCACTCAGCATCCTCTGAATAAGAATGATATAAATTCGACGGCTATCCGCTGCACATCATGGGCTGCAGCGTCGGCGGCCTCAGCTACAACAGCTTCGACAGGAGGCGTGCCCATGCTGCCTCAGGCGCCGTGCTAGGCGCGGGGAGCTGACCTCTGGGTACGCTGGTCTCCTCCTCCTTCTCCTCCCTTTTTCCCTCCTCCTGCTTCTCTATGAGCACACGTGGAGGGCAGCGACAACGACAGCAGGGGAGAAAGAGAAGGAGGATATGGAGGAGGAAAAAGGGGAGGATGAGGAGGAGGATGACGAGGAGGAGGAGGAGGAGGGGGATCAGGAGCAGGAGCAGGAGCAGGAGGAAGAGGAGGAGGAGGAGGAGGACGACGACGACTACGACGATGACGAGGACGAGGACGAGGACGAAGAGAAGGAGGAGGAGGAGGAGGAGGAGGAGGAGGAGGAGGAGGACGAGGAGGAGGAGGAGGAGTGAGGAGGAGGAAGAGGAAGAGGAAGACGAGGACGACGATCAGGAGCAGGAGCAGGATCAGGAGCGGGAGCAGGAGGAGGAGAAGGAGGAGGAGCAGGAGCACGAGCAGGAGCAGGATCAGGACTCGATAGATGAAGTTGGGCCCGACCATTTCCTCCGACGTCGCCTCCGAATTTCGTGACACAGGCCCCCGGGGACTCCGACCCGTGTCACCAGGGGCTGGCGTTCCGCCCTCCGTCGTTGTGTGGACGGCCCTGGTGCCGGGAAGCAGCCTCCATGGCGGCCGAAGATCAGGGGCGGCCAGGAAGGGGGGATGACTAGGAGGGGGTATCATGGCGAGTCCATGACATCTCCCCAGATTTCATGGCGCCTCTTCTTATGTCCCTTCCCTGGCCCCCCCTGGGCCGCGCACGTGCCGCCGGCCATGATTCGCGTTCCCTGTGTTGGGCGCCCCCGAGAAAACGGCCCAAGACAGGCCGTCGCGTATTTTCGCCTGGATATGGTCGAAAATTGTCTTTTTCTGCGTGTCGGCGTCGTTCGGGGAGGAAAAATCAGAGGAGGAAAAGGTACCGATGCCGTTCCCCTTCCCTGGTTTTCCCCTTTCTATGCATTCTGGGAGGCCCTCGTGGCCACCGCTGGATTCGCCTCGAAGTTCTGCTGAGAACGCACCCTGGGAGAGGCCTGGGGAATAGCGGTGCCGGTACTGTTGGTCCCCCCCCAGAAAAGGTATCAATGACATGCCGGCGTTGGGAGCCTCTCCGCGTGTTACTCCTTCGTTGTTGCCCAGAGGCCTGGCACTTCTTGAATAGTAGCACGCCGACGGGTTCCCCACGACGGCTTGTCATTGGTACTGCTTCTCGTCCCCAGGGGCCAGTTTTTTTATTCCCCTGGCGATGACGGCCGTCACGATTCGTGCCAGCGCCGTCTGGGAGTGAACTATTCCTAGCACTTCCCAGACGGCGCCAGCGCGAATCGTGTCGTTCTACTAGGTGGGGGGGAGAGCATCCCTGGTAATGGCCGCCGTCGCTAAAAAAACGCGATCTGGTCGTCGGACCGAAGCGAATCTCCGAGGCCCCCCTTTGGGACAGGCGCTGGAGATGCAGCGCGCGCTGCAGCAAGACCTGTCCGCCAAGGCGGCGCCGTCCGCACCACTCTCTGCCGCCCTCCTTCCGGGCCCGCTCCCCTCGTCGGTCCTGCCGGTCCCCCCCCCCCCGTTGTCCTCCATGTCCTCCCCCCTCCTCCTTCGCGTCCTCCTCCTCCTCCTCCTCCTCCTCCTCCTCCTCCTCCTCCTCCTACTCCTCCTCCTCCTCCTCCCCCTCCTCCTCTTCATCCTCCTCTTCCTCCTCCTCCTCCCTCCATTCGTCTTCCCCCTCTGTCGAATAGGAGGGGTCGTCGCTGTTTGGCCAGAGCGTCGACGCATATTTGTATATTGCGCAGAGAGTTTAACAGCGCATTCAACATCAGATTGCCGCCATGCGTACTCTCGTACAGCTTCCAGCCCCCCGCACTTCTAGTCGGCAGCGGAGGTGGGAGCGATCCTAGCTCGCGATCCGCGGGACGTGCGAAGAATACTGTGTGGACGCGCACTTGCACGTACCTTCCATTCCGTATCGGTACCACCTCCCGTTCCTGGAGAAGCCAGTGGTTATGGCTGCTCCGCAAGCCAGCCGCCAACCAGCAAATCGCGTCAAAAACCAGGTCCGACTGCGAGGGCAAAAGCAGAAGTCGCAACCGCGATGAGGAACGACTCACCCTCAGGACCGCCACGAAGTTCTTCGACCCATCGCAAACTCCCAAAGAAAGGTCGCAACTTCGCGTCGGGCACGACTGCAGGGCTCTTTCTTGGACTAGCGCCGTGCCCCGGCACGTGCGCGATAGTGCCGGCTGTCCTTGCGATCACATCGCGCCATCCGAGTGGGAACAACGCGTGTTAACACACCAGGTCCACCGACATCGGCATCGACCAAGTTCGACAACAGCAGCATCACTGTTGCACCGCAGTTGGACATGGCGCTCGCCCCTGCGCAGGCCGAGGTCCCAAGGCGCCTACGTAGCCATCATCGCGGCGAGGTCTTATCGAGGAGGATATCCATCTTGACGCTATGTGGCACCATCCTCGTGTTCTTCGCGGCCGTTCTGTTCTGGTTCACCGACATGATGCCTGGTGGAGCCGGCCCACAGGGCGGCGGCGGCCGCGGCGCCATCACATCCCACCAGCCGCCCTCCTGGTCACCCGAGCGCAAGTCCTGCATCCTTTCCGCCACTGGGCACAGGACCTGGTCGCCTGGAGCGTGCTAACCACCGACATGGGCAACGCTCACCAACGCTGCGCCGTCATCCTCAACCTCGGCGGCGCCGCTCGCGAGCTCACGCACTCCATGAGCGGCAACGAGATGACGGGGGCAAGCATGGTAAACGGCCAGCAAGAGGACGCTGTGACCTACCTCGTCGCGCTCATCGCCACGCAGTTCGGCCCAGTCGGCGAGGGGTCGCGCATCCAGGCAACCCGCGAACTCTTCAAGTTCTCGAGGCGGCGCAACGAAGCCAACAACGCGCTGCTCTCGCGGCTTCACGCTGCAATTCCGACCTACGCACAACGGTGGAGTTGCGATGTCTTGGGAGGTCTACAGCTGGCTGCTGCTCCTCCGAGCGGTCGGCGTCACAGGCGGCCAAATCATGACGCGGCCCCAGCCCCGCGGCACCCGATGCTAGGCCACGGAGGCCGAGTTCAACAGTCTCACGATCATGCTCGGGCGCGCGGGTCACATCATGGAGCACGCGCCAAATGACATCGCCAGCGCTCTTCGCGCGCCGCCATCTTTCGCAGGCTACCGGCCCGTCGCAGAGCGCCGCGCCATCGCGGGCAGCACCAGGCCGCCGCGCGGGCGCCCGCGCGCGGGGGCGGCCGCGACAGCGGGATTTGTTCAGACACAAGCTTGGAACCCGGCGGAGGGCCCCAAGGTCTCAGCCCCGCCAAGATGGATGCCCAGTTGTTCTGGCAGATGAAGACTGTTAAATGACAGCGGCGCAGACATGTGCGACGTCATACTCATAAGGCATGTAGGTTCATTAAGAATGACAGCAACTTCTGTAGAAAAGGCAAGAAGCAAAGGCAAGGGTTCCCAGAAGTATTCGTTCCTCATGGAGCTCTCAGATCCAAGTAGATCAGGTCTTCTTCGGTGGAACAGAACAGGGCAAGGGCGAGCGCTCGTCAGGCAAAGGATAAAGCAGGCGCCACGATCCGCAAGGCTACGACGGGACCGCCACGACGCGCGGCATCTGTGGGAGCGAGCACCACTTCCATGTTGAGCGCACGCAAGGCACCGCATCATTACCACGGGGGAGAGGCAGCGGCGACCAGTTCAGATGCCACGCGGACTCCGGGCCCGTACACGGCACCCTGGACTCTGGCCGATTTGCCGGGACTTCGGGGGGTGCACCCATGGCAAGTCAGGGCCCTCCTGAGCCGCGGCGAAGTCGCAGTGCCACGCCAGCGCAGCCATCGGCCGACGGCTCCTGGCAGATGCCTGGATCGGTCCACGGCTCGCGGTCAGCAGCCTCGTTCGCCGCGGCCCAGAGCCGCGCGCGCGCCGACGCGCCAGTTGCCTTACCGCCACTTCCGATGTTCAACATTGCAGTGCCAGTATCAGGACCACCCCAACTCCCAGCGCCGCCGCCGCCCCCTGGCACGGCCGCCGCCGCCGCGGAGCCCGCAGCGGCAACTGAAGGAGCTCGTCCGTTCGTCAACGCACAACGGAGGACTGCAGGTCTATTGGGTTCCCGCGAAGTGAGCCTCTTCGACCCGCAGGACACCGCAGGCGCCACCGCTCCTGCGAGGGCCAACTCGCGGTCCCTGACGACCGGCGCATCGCCGCCCCTCGCGTCGGAGGGGTTCGGCCAGTTCGCGCGCCTACGACAGAGTCAGCTAGCGCGAACTGCCCTGCCAGACAGACAGCAAATCCGCGGATGCGAGCACATGCCTGAAGTGCCGACCGCGGCCATCAGGACCAACGATCTGGCCCCTGAGATCTCCTTCCGGCCGTCTCCCATGGCCAGATTGGGGGCCGACAGCGACGCCCAGATGGAACAGCGGCGCGCTCGCCGACGTGAGCGAGCCCAACAGATGATCGGCAAGGGCGCGGCTGGGCCCCCGACCGTCGCGCCGCCGCCACCGCCGTCGGATCTACGCGCAGAGTCAGAACTCATTGAAATTGAAGTCGACGCTGGTGGCATGTGCGACATCAGTCTGGACCACTACGCCCGCTTGGATCTCGCAGTCGCCCTGCGCCCGACGCCTGGGCTGCGCCGACGCCCAGGCCGCCCCGTGCTACAACGGCGCCAAGGCGCGAGCAGTAGAAGAAGCACTCCGCGGCGACCAGTCCCGAGCATCTTTCTTACAATGCCTAACGTGTAGGCGACAGTTGGCAGAGCGCGAGATCGCGCCGCTCGGGGGCGGCCGTCGCCGCAAGGCTCACCGCAGGGCGGCACAGCCAATGCGCATCCCAGGTGGCCTGCCGCCAGCTCAGCAAACGAGCGTGCCATTCGGGCGCGTCACAGTCCCACCCAGCTCGCTTCAGGCGAGCCAGCGCCATCGTGGACCCCGCCGCGTGGACCAACCTCACGGGCGAGAAGCTTGCGCGCCAGCTGTGCCGCCGAGACGTAGAGGCAGGGCACCGGCCGCATCAGCTCCTCGCGTAAATGGCTCAATTTAGATAGAAACGCCAGGTTGCACCATGCATGTGCTGCCACCACAAACACTCGGTGGCCACGCGTGAACCCTGCCCCCTCCCCCTACCCCGTAGAAGTCGCGGGGTGGATGGCCACCTGAAACATTATTGCGCATCTAGAGTACAAGAACGCACTGAAATCTCACGCTGCCGCTTCCTCGCGGATTTTTGCGAGTCCACTGGCGATAATTTGCAAGGGCGCCAATCCGATGATTACTGTGCAACCTGGGGACTCGTTTGGCCCGCGTTGGCCACGACGCGATGGAGCCGCGCCGAGGCGTTCACGAGAACGCCCGCGACGTCCGCCAGATGCGATTCACCCTGGCAACGCCAGGCGATGTTCGGCTCCTGTTGGGGCCACGTTGAGGTTCTCATGCCGAGGGCCCCAGGCGTCGCCGGACGGCTTCCAGGCCCGCGTTGAGGCCGCGTTGAAGCTCTCAGGGCGAGGGCCTCAACGTTCTCCGGGCGCGACCCCCGCACGGTCCTGGTGGATTCGCGGGGCCTGCTGAGACAACGTGGGGGCTCGCGCAGTCCCTGGAGAAGTCTTGGCGACATGCCGCGCTGAGATAGAGACCGTCGCGCGCGCCGGCCTCAGCCCTCTATATCTTCCATGGAGGATTCCCGCGCGCACTGAAAGTGCTGATCGTCATGGAGGCGCCATGGCCCCCCTCGCGAGGGCTTCGCGGCAAGGGCCCCGACCCCGCCCCAGAGGCGTTCCGCAGGCCTAATGGACGAGGCAGCTATCCCGCCACGTGAAGACCTTCAGGGCAAACGCGCCAACATCCCCAGTCGTGATTCCCAAGATCTTCCAAGAGCAAGTCCGGCCCATGCCGATGCCATGTTTGGGCCTCGCCCCAGGGGCTCAACACCCCCAGCGCGCGTTTGCCGAACGACCCTGGACGATCTCAGGCTCATCATGAGGCCTCGTCAATTTGAGTTTTGATCACGTTGTAATTGCGCTTATGGTGGCTTACGGTCGCCCGTGGGGGCCGCGTGCAGGAGGTTCGCTACCACGAGCCAATTCAGCAGTTTCGCGTCTCGCGGGCGCGGCGGCAATCCCGGCGCACGCTTTCAAGGTCGAAGACCGCCAGTGGCTCGAAACGAGCGGATATTGAAAGATCTGCGCAGTCGGCCTTTGGCCCTGCCCTTGGCGCGGTTGGGAGGCAGCCCCGATGACTGGGTTTTCAATGGGCGCTTCACCCAAGCCGGGAGGCCCATCCAAGCATCGCCCCTGTCCGGCATGTTGCCTAACAGCGAGACAATGGGCACCCGAGACAAGGAACATTAGATTGTCGCAGGGATGGCTACTGCGGTCATCATCGCTGCTCGCCTCGCATCCGCAAGTCCGAGATGCCAAACTCTTGAATGTAAATCGGCTGACCAATGCGCGCGGCCCCCTCGCGCCG